CATAGTCCTTTGCACCTGGATCAGCAGGGGTTCTTTTGGAATGGAACAATCACTCCTTACCTGGTTGATTCTGTTCCTCAATAATTCCAGATTCCTTCACTCAGAGAGAAAGGGGTTATTCAACTTTGAGAAATTTATATTAAATATTTATGTATTTATTTAAGCTACAGTTATATACAGTACAAAATAATTGTGTGTATATATATTAAATAACAATTAAATTTAAAGTACAACTATTCTGTATATACATATATATATATATATATATATATAGTAATTTTTCTGTTATAATAAAGTATTATTCAATTATTAAGGAAGATTGAATGAGAAGTGCATACATTTACATTAAATACTTGATTTATTATATTTGATTTGATATTTTAAATTAGTGTTTTTTTTGTGTGCGATGACCACTAAATTAGCTAATGTTTCCATTTGTTTAATATGTAGGATCATGATTCACCATCATCATCTGGTACAACAACAGTCATCTCTAAATACTCTATATTAAAATTTAACAGTAAACACACACACACACACACACCTTATGAGACTCATCTTCTCCATACTCTCAATCATGTAGGATTCTTTTGATATCAATTATGAGTCAAATCTTCCATGTACTTAAAGGGATAGTTCACCTAAACAAATAAATATTCTGTCATGTCCGTTCTAAACCTGTATGACTTAGATATTTTGAGAAATGTCTTAGTGCTCAGTTCTTTAAAATATCTTCTTTTGTGCTTTTTGGGTGAACTATCCCTTTAATGTGAGTGAGTGTTTCAAGAATTACTCGAGAGGTTCCATTTCAGTAATAATGCTGCCTACTCAGACAGTAGACAGGAAGGCTGCTCTCTAGAAGCTAATGTTGTCTTACAGTTTTTTTCAACTGCTTACACACAACATTTTTACTTGTCACACAATTTCTGAAACCTGACACTCAAACACCAGAACCACACACCAAATCTGCAGAACCATACACTAATTCTCGGCCTTTGACTCATAAAACAATTTCAATTTCATAAAACACTTTTTGCAAAACACAACACACAATTCTAACAAGAATTAATATTATGGAAAAGGTGTTTGCAAATGTTTGCTTTTGAGATGTGTTTGTGATATTTTGAATGCAGTGCTTCATTTTGCAAGAGATGTGAGGCATTTTGCATTTTGTGTGTGCAATTCTTGGATTTGTGTGTAAAGTTTTGAAAAAAAGAGGCAAAGTTTTAAAAATGTGTGTAAGCAGTAAAACTGTAATTTATTGGGAGTACAGTGTGCTTACTATTCCCAAAAACTCTGAGAAGAGGAGGAATGACATAACCGTTTGCATGTGTATGTGGCTATAGATACAGTTTTTAAAATAGAATTGCAATTTTTTTTTTTTTTTATGAAATGCTGCTGTTGCTGTTTGAATACTAGAAGGCAGAGATGGATCATTACTTGGTATATATTTGTACCGTCCTGAGACCACCTCAGTGCAAAGCATTATATTTTTAAGATCATTTATTTCAGCAACACTAAAACTTGCACACATACACACTTCAAAAAGAGCCTTCACTCCCCTGAACCATGAGGACATGAGGTAAACAGTGTGTGTGTAAGAGAGCAAATAGGAAAAAGGCCAATATTGAGCTGTGTACTGAGCCCATAACTGAGCAATCCATTAATGTCTTTGTCCTTTAGAGAACAGAATCAGTTTTTTAAAGTAAATCCTGTGGTGATTTGAGAGAGGTATAGCTCAAGGGCCAGTGTCAGAAAGTCAAATCAAATATGTCAAATATTTGCTCCATTTCTAAAACAGTCCTGTTGATGCTTAACAATAAAACCGATACAAATTTCCAACAATAATCAGTTTTTTTGGACAGTTTTCAATATTTTTGAACAGAAATTATTCCTGTGTAGCTCCACAGTGAAGCCTGCCAAATAAAGTGTTATTTCAGCTTAGGCAAACATGATATTCAGCTTTATTTTGTGCGTGTGCATGTGTGTGTGTGTGTGTGTTAAACACAAAACCAATTCCACTTACATTTTACAAGTTTTAAACTCGCATTTGAATTATGTCTTCAAACTACAGTTGCCAATCAATTCAAACATTTTAGCACACAATTTTAAAAACGCATTGTTACAAAAAAACAAACAAACAAGCAAACAGGCTTGTTTAAATATTACACTTTCTATGAATTATGACACTCAGATAAATGTATGCGATGTACATTTATGCAATGGTATTCTTCTCACTCACACTACAAACAACAGATTTTATATACTGACTGAATCAAAACACACTGTTATTGCAAACTCAAAGGAAATCAGTAATAATACAAGAATAAAACAACTTTCATCAGACTATTTACATACAATATATATATATATATATATTTTTGCATGTGTAGAGATTCATTCTCCTGCTAGTATTCATATTAGCATTCTTTGAATGTTGGTGTTTAATTTGTTTGGCTCTGATTATGATTAAATTCCACTATAGATTGGAATGACTTCAGAGAATGGCTTTTCTTGTGATAAATTACTTTTGCTCGGTAAGAGGGTTATTATCAGTCATTTACTGATAAACAAATGCAATGCTGTAGCTGTTTCTCTGAGACAGAGAAAGAAACAATTCTTGTCATTTCTAAATATTCCGATAAGTTTTTAGAATCAGACTGAAAGGAATGAATCAGTGGACAGTGGAAGTGGAAGTGGACAATGTCAAATCAGTCAGATTTAAACATTTTATGTAAATAATTGTATGTATGTATGTTTGATTTGAAACACATCTTTATTTGTGCTAGTATTCATATTAGCATTCTTTGAATGTTGGTGTTTAATTTGTTTGGCTCTGATTATGATTAAATTCCACTATAGATTGGAATGACTTCAGAGAATGGCTTTTCTTGTGATAAATTACTTTTGCTCGGTAAGAGGGTTATTATCAGTCATTTACTGATAAACAAATGCAATGCTGTAGCTGTTTCTCTGAGACAGAGAAAGAAACAATTCTTGTCATTTCTAAATATTCTGATAAGTTTTTAGAATCAGACTGAAAGGAATGAATCAGTGGACAGTGGAAGTGGACAATGTCAAATCAGTCAGATTTAAACATTTTATGTAAATAATTGTATGTATGTATGTTTGATTTGAAACACATCTTTATTTGATGACGATACATATTTTTTCAACTATTATCCTGTTATCTTACAGATTTACCATTTGCCATAAGACAGAGGTGGTGAAGAACACGCTGAACCCTGTGTGGCAAGCCTTTAAAATCTCCGTCAGAGCCCTGTGCAATGGCGATTATGACAGGTATGGAGTGTTTTGTACTGGGATAGGTTTGCTAGAAATTGGTGTGTGTTTTAATTGGTTGTGGGAAACAATATTTTGTTGCCATAAAGTACTTTGAGTTTGATCTCTTCACATTTGAACCATATTTAAACTATGGTTAAGTTATATACTCACACTTCACACATCAATTAAATCTTAAATATTGAGGTTACTTGGTTACACGTAAACAGCAGTTGTTGTTGTCGGCATTTAACCCCGGCATTAAATTTACTCAGAGGAAAGAGTAAAAAAAAAAATTCTAATTTTTTTAATTACTTTATTGCAGCCATAAATATTTAATACCAAAGCCTACAGAAAATTCCTAGGTTTTGATGCAATAATAGCTGGACAGCATATAAATATATGTGTAAGTATATACAGCAACAATGTTTTTTCATGTACAGATGACAATGATGTTAAAATAATCCAAGTTCACATGGATCCGCAACACAACATAAAACACTGTGTTATGCATGTCAGGCCAGTAGATGGCGATGTCACTTTGTAAAGAAACACTATGCATCTGGGCACATTCCCATAAACCAAACACGTAATATGTATGCACATGATGTCACCATTTTCACAAATTTGCGTTTTTGTAGTGTAGAAAAATACAACGGCATCATTTTCAAAACCTTTAACTTTTAAACCCGTTTTCAAAAGTTTGCTTTTTCAGGCCCCCAAAATACCATTGTCGTGTAAATAAACATCCAAAACGCATAATAAATGTTCTGTTTTTAGTTGAAAATGGTGTCGTGTAAACATCCCATCATTGCATACATATTTGAATAGTTTTTGTTGTTGTTGTTGTTTTTGTTGTTTTGCATTTGCATTTGCAAGGCATCAGAACATGTACATAACCAATGAATATAATACACAGTATAGTGATCTACATTGGTTAAAAAAAGAAGATAGAAAACAATATCTATGAATGGTTTACTTAAAGTACGATCTGCATATTATGTTGGAATAGGATAAATTATATTACAGTTAAAAATTATATTAAGAGACATGAGACAACATAGAAGAGAATTCCAACCGCTACATGGTATCCCAGAAGCATCCATCATGAGTAGCTCAAACAGGGCTCTTGCTGTGTGGCGATAAAGCGGGAAGCTTCCTCACGGTAGCGGCACTCACTGATGAGCATCGATCGGTACCATAACGCACTCTCCCACACAATGCCTAGGCGTTATCTCTGATTGAACACGTGGGAAACGAAAGAGAGAGACAGACAGACGTATAGGAAGAGCGCTGGGCATCCGGAGGAGTCTGGGACGCGAGATAAGCCAGCGCACACGCTCTAATAAAGAAGCACGGAGTGTCTCGCTGATGATAACACTGAGAATGGGTGCTAAGGGATGCTGTGGGGATTGGGTTGTTGTTAGCATGTGTTGCGTTAAAGCTCTATGTAATTGACAGAGCTGTTCTGTTTGAACGGTGTAAACTCACCACTCGCCTGTCACGCCACGGACAGCAGGAGTTGTAATTATTTTCTGTCAAAACGCACTAATCCGGCCCTCTAACCCTAGTATGTGAAATATTTTCAATTTGCCTTCCTGAAAAGAAAGTGCCATGGGTAAACTGATTTTAGAGAGATTGTAGTTATAATTCCAGGGCAGTTCTGCCAAATCGCTACTTTGAGAATGTCAACCATAAATAGCCTCCACATACAGCACGATTTGCGTCATATTGTAATTATCAAAGTGACTCTAATTATTATTATAATTACAAAACAAAAATTATGAGGAAACTGAATTTTATGAAAGTTTCAACTTTCCACTTAAGCATCTGAAGAAAGTTCCTGTGATTTTATTATAGCCCTTGACACCTGGTGTTCTTTCTTTGTTCTTCAAGGTTTGAAAACAGAACAAAGAGGTTAATTAGTGCAGCATTTGAAGTATTTTTATGTCATCAACGATGAAGGCGTGCACATATCTTTTTTGGTGTGATGATTATTACCATGGAAACAAATAATTTCTAAGTCCAATGACATGAACAGCTCGGTAGTATCTCAGCGTTGTCATCACATGAATATGGTAATTCCAACATGACATGAACACAGCTTTAGGCTAATAAACTATATTACTTTAGAACAGTTCATTGGAAATGATTTCTAATGCATGCATCAATATTTCTGTTGTTCAGTGCATGCAGTGTTTGTGCTGTGGAATTAATTATACATAAATGATACATAATACAATAATACAAAAACACATCACAATGATACATTAAATCATGTGGCTGGTTAAAGGGAGGTCTACTGTTACTTTTCATTAGTGACCAGAATTACAATTTAATCTAGCAGACAATAAAACAGGCAAAAAAAGAAAAAAATCCCATAGTAAAAAAACTGTCAACTATCATTCTCAACATACAAGGTATGTGGAGCTATATTCAAATTCATGTTTAAAGAAATTTTAAAGGCATACAAAGGCATAATTTACAATTCTGCTTCTCTCTCTCTCTCTTTCTCTAACAGAACGATCAAGGTTGAAGTGTATGACTGGGATCGGGATGGCAGGTAATGAACTATAAACAGTCACATGAAGCTTAATATACACATCTGACACATCCCTTAATTTGTAATGTAATGTTCAGTACTGATAGCTAAAGTCTTCTCATAGGGACACAGTAAATGAGCATGAAATGCTCTTATGCTCAAATTGTCCAGCAATTTACAGTTTTTCTCAATCGATTTGACACTTTTCTCCAATGCAATGTACTTGTTCTCAAAACATTTAACACAGCCATCCAAACACAAAATTACCTTAACCAAACAGTTCAACTTTCAACTCTTTGTAAGCACTTTTGTATGTTTTGTATGTATTGTATCCAAATGAAGCCTGATCAGTCCATCACATTCATTTCCATAAATGATTCACGCCACGGACAGCAGGAGTTGTAATTATTTTCTGTCAAAACGCACTAATCCGGCCCTCTAACCCTAGTATGTGAAATATTTTCAATTTGCCTTCCTGAAAAGAAAGTGCCATGGGTAAACTGATTTTAGAGAGATTGTAGTTATAATTCCAGGGCAGTTCTGCCAAATCGCTACTTTGAGAATGTCAACCATAAATAGCCTCCACATACAGCACGATTTGCGTCATATTGTAATTATCAAAGTGACTCTAATTATTATTATAATTACAAAACAAAAATTATGAGGAAACTGAATTTTATGAAAGTTTCAACTTTCCACTTAAGCATCTGAAGAAAGTTCCTGTGATTTTATTATAGCCCTTGACACCTGGTGTTCTTTCTTTGTTCTTCAAGGTTTGAAAACAGAACAAAGAGGTTAATTAGTGCAGCATTTGAAGTATTTTTATGTCATCAACGATGAAGCCGTGCACATATTCTTTTTTGGTGTGATGATTATTACCATGGAAACAAATAATTTCTAAGTCCAACGACATGAACAGCTCGGTAGTATCTCAGGGTTGTCATCACATGAATATGGTAATTCCAACATGACATGAACACAGCTTTAGGCTAATAAACTATATTACTTTAGAACAGTTCATTGGAAATGATTTCTAATGCATGCATCAATATTTCTGTTGTTCAGTGCATGCAGTGTTTGTGCTGTGGAATTAATTATACATAAATGATACATAATACAATAATACAAAAACACATCACAATGATACATTAAATCATGTGGCTGGTTAAAGGGAGGTCTACTGTTACTTTTCATTAGTGACCAGAATTACAATTTAATCTAGCAGACAATAAAAAAGGCAAAAAAAGAAAAAAATCCCATAGTAAAAAAACTGTCAACTATCATTCTCAACATACAAGGTATGTGGAGCTATATTCAAATTCATGTTTAAAGAACTTTTAAAGGCATACAAAGGCATAATTTACAATTCTGCTTCTCTCTCTCTCTCTTTCTCTAACAGAACGATCAAGGTTGAAGTGTATGACTGGGATCGGGATGGCAGGTAATGAACTATAAACAGTCACATGAAGCTTAATATACACATCTGACACATCCCTTAATTTGTAATGTAATGTTCAGTACTGATAGCTAAAGTCTTCTCATAGGGACACAGTAAATGAGCATGAAATGCTCTTATGCTCAAATTGTCCAGCAATTTACAGTTTTTCTCAATCGATTTGACACTTTTCTCCAATGCAATGTACTTGTTCTCAAAACATTTAACACAGCCATCCAAACACAAAATTACCTTAACCAAACAGTTCAACTTTCAACTCTTTGTAAGCACTTTTGTATGTTTTGTATGTATTGTATCCAAATGAAGCCTGATCAGTCCATCACATTCATTTCCATAAATGATCACCGTGATTTTAAGGGATTTGGAGGGTCCTTTGATCTAAGATAATTAAATGTTTTATTTCATAGCATGCTAAAAGGCTGAGTACTGTTGAAATATCAGAACAACATTTATCAGAGCCAAATAAGCTTATTTTGAAACAAATGTAATGTTCTCCATGCTGACAAATCTGTGAATATGTGTGTGTGTTTTAACAGTCATGACTTCATTGGCGAATTCAGCACAAGCTACAGAGAACTGTCAAGAGGCCAGTCACAGTTTAACATGTATGAGGTAATCTTATTTTATTCATTTTATTCATTTGTTTTGCAGAGCTCATTAACATGGTACTTTTTCAGAAAAAGTGTTCACAGGATAACAAATATACTGTAGCTTACATTCTTTATTACTTGTGTTACAAGTAGGCTGCCACTTTTGACCACTTTTGACACAAGTACAGTATATCTGACTTATTCAAATAGATTTTGACATTAAACAAACATATTTTTCCACTTAAGTAGATGTTCTGATGGCCTGCATATGACAGGCCAGGGCTGCGTTTAAGCTTAAGTACAACGTAGACCCATTGAAACCAATGGAGCTACACTCAACCTAGGCTTACGATGCTAAGAGTGCAACTTAAAAATAAAGTGAAGGAATCAATGCAATTCAAATTTATTAATTCAAAACTCAAAAAGTAACTGGACCAATTACAGTACTTCCATTATTATTTTTTTTAATTGCAATGGTAGAAAGCGTCAAGCAATTTCTTTGCTTAATGTTTGCTTAATTCTTATTACATGTCTAGCAGTTGTTTGTTACACAGTAATAAAAGAGGCTATAAGGAAATAAAATTATATTTAGAGGCAAATGTCAACACATTAAAATGGCAATTTCTACACAGCCTGAATTTAACTCTAGGGTGTAGAAGGGGTGTTGTGTAATGTCATACAGTGCATCAATTATGTTGCATTTATTCAGTCTCATACAAATTCCATTATCCCATAAATGATTATAATCACTCATTTTCTCTGCACAGGTCATAAACCCCAAGAAGAAAGGCAAAAAGAAAAAATATCTCAACTCTGGAACTGTAAGCATACATTTTTCATGCTACATTCTTGCTAGTGTATGCTTTTGTTTTTATTAATTTAGTTTGCTGTAGTTTTGGAGAGGAACTAAAAGCAACATCGCTAGGGTCAGCGATAGGACCAAAATATTGTGTATTATTGCATATTATTGTTTATTGTGAATTTTATTTCATAAAATCAATATAGCCTAACTAATATAAGCAAAAAAAAAATTCTCATGTTATTGAAGACAAATAACAGTAATACATTTCAATGAATAATGTCATAGAAATTTCTCTGTCAGAACAGCGAATTGAGTGCTAAATTGAGATTTTCTTTTTTTAATGTCTTGAAAGTTTAACCTGGTGAGGCTTAAAAACACATAAAAAGGATAAACTCTCATGACTTCACAAAACTGCAAAGCCATATGAGCATAACCATGAGATCCATTTTCTACTAGCTTATCATATCTATACACAACAATACAGTAGATAATTGTGTGTGTGTGTGTGTGTGTGTATCTGCTCAGATATTACCCCCCCCCCCCCAGCCCGAAGCTTCAAAAATGCAATTGTAATTGCTGTGTAAATGCATTCATGCCAATTCTGAACACCATTAAATAATCCATGTACAATTTACAGGCCTTTTTTTTGCCATCTATGTTGACAAATTTGTATTATCATCATTACATCTTAGTCCAGGTCATAATTTTGTGCACAGTCTACTAGGATGCTTGCAATGCTGAAAATAAAATGCAACATAAGATAAAATGAAAATCTGTTTGGTCTCATGAAAGAATGTGCATTGAGCTGATAACAATAGGTAGTTATTGATTTGTTGACTTGTGCTATTGTTGACTTGTCATTTATAAATATTAGAACTAAATTTATAGCATAATATAATTCAATTACTTACCGTTCCAGTGGTAGAATACATTTAGTATAAGCACTGTACTTTGAATTTTGGTTAGCTTGTAGCTTGACAAGCTGCATTTTCAAAGAAGCTTCCCCAACACTTTTCTTTTTTATTTTTCTGTCATGTATGCCTGGGGCAGTCTTTCCTTACTTCAATTAGAATCAGTTAGAAGATTCCGTAAATCGTTGATATAGTGACATGACAGCACACAGAATCCTCATGGGATTTTCTGGCTTCATGTTTCCAGGTGACACTGCTATCGTTTCTCGTTGATACTGAAGTCACCTTCCTGGACTTCATCAAAGGCGGGTAAGTGCTCATTTGCAAACACTTCTCTTTCTTTACAATCAGCTTCTGATGTGGAAACGCCAACAGACAACACATGCCTGTGGAAAGCAAAGTGACTTGGTGCATTTAAATTCTCACATTACCAGTGGCGACAACACAGCTGTATTTGGCTGTGATCCCAAACCACCCCGAACCCAGGCTGCATCCTCCACAGCAGGTCTCGACAGGTTCTTGAAGTCCGTTTTGAGTGCTCGTGGGTAATTATACTGGCAGTACAGATGACTGACCACATATGAACAAGTCGGACACCATGAGTGATAAAGTCCATTCATGGCAGATGATAGATGAGGCTGGGTTGCTAATCTTAGCACAGGTGTTTGCTATGTGTGTGTGCGATTAAATGCGAGGGGTAGACAGGGTGCATCTATGCATGGCAGATTGCACACCCACGTTGAGCGATGCTTTTAATTATGGTGGCAAGAGGGAGGCTGCGGTCACCTCTGCTCTGACACCACACCGCCAGACTTCTATTTGAATGGCTACTCCTTCTTTTAGTCTGAGATGTTTTGGCGAAAGGTCAGTGAGTTCGAGCTGAATTTGTCCACTCCTGGAGGGTATAGTCTGCGTGTGTCTCTCACACTTCCTGTAACAGTACTGGAATGTCCAGCTCATCATTTATTGATATAATCCAATTAGAAATTTGAAATCATAGAGTGAATAACCCAGTAGCTAATGGTTAATAATGGTTTAAAGGGATTTTTAAGTTTACTTAAAAAGTTTACTCACCCCCATGTCATGTCAATACTGTGAACTGGTACACTGTTGGTTCACCCATGTGTAGCAATCAAACACAATGCGCTTTTTTGGATTCAGGATTGGATTGGATAATCAGTATATGATATAATTTCAATGATGGGTTAATTGATGTATAAGAGTGTCAACAATAAAAGAAAAACCTTTTAATAGGAAGGGAAATCTCAACCTGGTTTTATGACGAAAAACTTACATCTGGGAACTTTTTCGCAAGACGCGGAATACGTACTGCAATGTACGTTTTGTGACATATTCTATGTGAAATATCCACTGGGTGGCGCTAAAAGAGTGTTAATTTTTTCCCCCGGAACAGATGAACATACATACAGTGCATTTTATGTAGGGGTTGCACCGACTAATCGACTAGTCGACTTTAAAAAATCAGAAGTCGTTCAACCCCTAGTTTTATGTGACATTGCTTTTGTAGGTGTCACCACAGTTCTGAAATGTTCGTTGAGTGACGCTATAGGTCTAATGCTCTGTGACGTTTTAAAATAATGTACCATCTGCACTACACTTAAACGTAGTCGATAGTATGAACAAAAGTGAATATGGCGTAAAAACACAATCGCAAGCATGCTGTATTATCTCGTTTTTCGATCTCTCATCTTTCAGCTCTTTCATCGTGAGTCATGTTTTTGATGGGATTCGTACCCGGCTGAGCTACCATGCAAGCTTGTTACGTCCGGAAAGCGAAACGTATGGAGCTGTAATCATAACTGTGCACGAAAATGATTACAAGTGTTCGCTGTTTTACCACCTCTAGTTTTCATTTCTGTCAGAAACTGCAGTGATATGTATTTCATACGTATTTCGCGTCTTGCAGAAAAGTTCCCAGAGGTACGTTTTCGTCATGAGACCAGGTAGGAGAATCTAGTGTAAAGCATATGCGTGAATTTCTTATGATTGTACTTTTTGTTTTCATGTTGGTTTTATGTGGTTTTGTCATTTCTATGTCAAGAAAAGGTTCAATTTAATAACTGATGGTGTAGCCATCAAGTAAAAAAACACTATTGTTTGGCATTACGAAATGTAGTATATGAGCTACTTTTATGATTGTTTTATGTTGCTTCTGGAGCTTTTCAGTCATGGTCATAGCTGTTTGAAGATTCTTTAAAAATATCAAATTTTGCGTTTCATGGACAAAAACAACAACATGTAAGAATAAACAATAGCATAATTATCATTTTTGGCTGAACTATTCCTTTAAGCATATACAGTAAATAGAATGATGTGCACATGCAAATGCACATACAGTACATTAAGTGCACCATTTTTTGTGTTATTTTTCAGGAGACATCTCCAAAGCAATGTTTCTTGGCAGTAATGGCAGCTCTTTTTCCGTGCATGTCATTGTGTGAATGGCTAAAGTGGAAAGTTGTGTAGGGCTGCAAATGGATTTTGTCGAGAACTCTCTCGCATTACGTAATGGCAGCCACATTTTCAGTTTCCCTATTTATGCACATTTTTCCTCTGCCGTGATAAAAGCTTCTCTTCAGCTCTTTCATCGTGAGTCATGTTTTTGATGGGATTCGTACCCGGCTGAGCTACCATGCAAGCTTGTTACGTCCGGAAAGCGAAACGTATGGAGCTGTAATCATAACTGTGCACGAAAATGATTACAAGTGTTCGCTGTTTTACCACCTCTAGTTTTCATTTCTGTCAGAAACTGCAGTGATATGTATTTCATACGTATTTCGCGTCTTGCAGAAAAGTTCCCAGAGGTACGTTTTCGTCATGAGACCAGGTAGGAGAATCTAGTGTAAAGCATATGCGTGAATTTCTTATGATTGTACTTTTTGTTTTCATGTTGGTTTTATGTGGTTTTGTCATTTCTATGTCAAGAAAAGGTTCAATTTAATAACTGATGGTGTAGCCATCAAGTAAAAAAACACTATTGTTTGGCATTACGAAATGTAGTATATGAGCTACTTTTATGATTGTTTTATGTTGCTTCTGGAGCTTTTCAGTCATGGTCATAGCTGTTTGAAGATTCTTTAAAAATATCAAATTTTGCGTTTCATGGACAAAAACAACAACATGTAAGAATAAACAATAGCATAATTATCATTTTTGGCTGAACTATTCCTTTAAGCATATACAGTAAATAGAATGATGTGCACATGCAAATGCACATACAGTACATTAAGTGCACCATTTTTTGTGTTATTTTTCAGGAGACATCTCCAAAGCAATGTTTCTTGGCAGTAATGGCAGCTCTTTTTCCGTGCATGTCATTGTGTGAATGGCTAAAGTGGAAAGTTGTGTAGGGCTGCAAATGGATTTTGTCGAGAACTCGCTCACATTACGTAATGGCAGCCACATTTTCAGTTTCCCTATTTATGCACATTTTTCCTCTGCCGTGATAAAAGCTTCTCTGCACCTGTTGGCTGTTGCAGTATGAAACACTGTTAGTGTAATTCCGCATGACAGTGTTTGTGCTGTAGCCCACAGCAAAATACTCCAACTAACTGTGAGCACACTTAACAGTTTGGAGCAAAAGTTGGTAGATACTTGCTCAAGAGCAAGATTTAAAGATGGTTAGAGAAGATGTAGTTGTAAAAACTATACAAATAATTGTAAAAACAGCTCAGGTTACATATGTGAGAAGGGAAGAAGAAGCTGTGCAATGGTGTTGAAGCTATCGGAATGCTTTTGTGTGAGCCGGTGTCTGAAGCACATGTATATACTCGCCAATGTGATTGGCAGAAGGTAATGACATGGTGATGCAATGTAGTGTGTGGCCAAGGCTAAAAACAGAAGCCTGAAATGCACCCCATCAAATTCTAACTGCCAGAAGGAGGCGCACAGGCATAGCCTTGGTGTGGCAATGAGACACAGTGTCTTGTTCCTTTGTCAGGGAACTGGGTTACATACATAACCTGAGACATTCCCTTTCGAAATGGAACTTCGATGCTGTGTCCTGGCATTGACGCTATGGGAACATCAATACCAAAGCACAAACCGGACATAAAAGGGGAAGACTTTCTTGTTTCAGAGACTCGTGAGGGAAAAAAAAGTGTTATATATATAAAAATGTTATATATAACATTTAATTGATGCTTTTTTACGTGCTATTACTAAATGCTTTACTGTGATAAACAACTAGTGTTTCTCCCCTTATCTTTTCACTCTTTTCTCCTCTTATCTCTGTCATCACCATCTCTGTGTTATCTGCCTTTCTGTGGCGTCCCTGAGCAGTGATTGACACTAGTGTGGAGTGCACCTCATTAGGTGTAGGAGATGAAGAGCACGGTGCTCTAGAGAGACAGCCATTATGATGAAGAACAATCCAATCAGTTAATTGGTATTAGGGAGCCCTCAAGGAGAAGAACTCTGCAAGCATCTGCAGTCGCAAATTACAGCTTTGCGTGTAGAGTTATCTCAAAGGACAGCTGTTCTCAGCCATGTTTGTGTGTTTGGTGGAGGATTTTGCACCCTGGATTGAGCCACACTAACAGCTGTCTTTATACATCATAGGGAGAAGATCCAGAGTTTCATGATTCATTAACAATGTTATGCTGTTGCTTGTTAACTCTGCCCTTATTTACTTTAATCTGTTGTGATCTATTGGGATTTCAGCTGGCAGAATGGATTCCGTTTTACTGTCATCAGTGTTCTGTCTGTTAGCTTAACAGCTAATGAGCTCTTATTTGCAACAAAATAAGACTAACCTAACCAGAATATATGATGTGAATGAAAAGCAAAGAGAATGAAAGCCTATTTTGCTTCCATATTTGTGAGCAATACAGGAAAATGAATGAGGAAAAAATCTAAGGTTGGACATTTATCCATTTGGAATTAATTGGATCATGAAAAGTGGGCATTCTACTGTATATGATAATGGAGCCAAATGTGAGTTTGCTAAAGTAATTGTCTAAGCAGCTATTTTGTTATTGGCTATTATCCAAAGGAACAAGGGCTAAGTGATATCAGTTGAATAAGATATAATTTGGCAAAGGTAACATACACATTTATTCTTGAATAATGTTGAGATCATATACTGTTCACAATAAGACCAGAATTGTGTATTAAGAAACTAGAGTCAATTTAGATTTCATGCTGACCTTAAAAGTTCAGTGTACAGTTGTTAATTGGGTTAAAACATTTGAATATATGAGAATTCTCCCGTTTAAATTGTTTTAAATTATTGGCCTAATTTCTGCACAGAAGTTGGTTTAAGTCATAGTTACGATGTCACACCACATATCTGACTGTAATGATCAGTCCACTGAAGGTGGTTAAGCACAGTGTGATAAGCCTTATAGAAGTCTTAAAGCTATAGTAGCAAAAAAAGCCTGTTTAATTCTTAGAGTTAGAGAGAGGATGGTTAAATGTTCATTAAAGAAAATAAATTATGATGCATGTAAGTGGACTTGCATAGGTGGCTTGTAGAATGTATATTGCAGTAAAGAAATGCAGTATTGACTAAGTTGCTTCATCCCCTGAAGTCCCTTGTCTCCATATGGACAGTGTCCCATCACCTCCAGTCAACAACATCTGTCGTCTCCCATGCTCATGTCACAAGACATTTCTCCAGCCACCGGCTCATGCATACAGAGCACCTCATCAGCTTTCCAGAGACCTTGGGAAAAGAACAAAAACTCAACTTTTATTAATCATTCTATCACACCAATAGAAAGCTGTCCCAACATGATGGCTTTTTGTTGACTTTAATCAATCTCTGCCAGGACTCAACAATAAGAATGTTTTCTTTTGTTTTGTTTTTTTCCTGGCATGATCAGGCCAGATGTCAGACCTCTGACAATGTTTTCTGGCCCTATCACAAAAGAAAAAAAAATGGATGTAGTGAGTGACAGAAAATAGTTTTTATATAAAATTGTACTGAATTGTAGAAATGAGCAAACTGCTCTGTCACTGTACTGTCTGTGATTGCATGTGTATATCATGGATATATTTTAAATATGCACTATATGAAGTAGCTCCATAAGACTTTATTTCATTTCCTCTTTCTCACACCAATACCCACAGAGAAGCAGGTGTCTTTGGGATTTAGTTAAATAATGAAACCTGATATTCTTGCGGATATTCTCTGAACATCTGAGTCCCATCTGTGGCAGAGACAGCCCTCGTCTTCCAACTCTCATTTTCTCAGGCGTTGAGTTTCATACCTGCATTCACCGAAACCGCCCCATTACAAACACTTAGATTGCAGGTACCTCAATAGGTTGCTGCTGCCACAAAGCTCTTAGTTATGAAACTGTCATCCCCTATTGGACGGAATACATGTAGTGCATGGCTGTGATCTTTTCCCCTTTAACCGTCTGTTGAATGTTTTTCTCTCTTTGGACTTTTGATTCTGCTATGAATTCTGCTATAGTCAAGTACCACTCACATAGCTACAGATTGTTTTTCAGCTTGCTTCGGGAAACAAATTGGGACAGGAAATCCCAGGGGGTTACAGCAGAATGAAAAATGTGGTTCTGTGTGAGTAAGCCTGCTGTCTATTTGAGAGAAAACAGAAACATTTGCAGAACTGTTTTGCCAGGTCTTTTTGGTAGGTTTTGATGTTTAATTTTGGAGCACTCTGTTGAGAAACTCTGGGGCTCAATCCTTAGTCAGGAGTCCCAAGAGAATGTGTTATACAGCAATTAAGACTGTTCATTCTGTAACTGTTTAACTAGTAATGAATACATATCAATCAAACATTAAAAGCCTGTCACACAGGCTTCATTTAATTTGCCCTCTTCATCAAGGGCTGTTCAATCCTGCTCAGCGAGATCTATCATTATTCAGAACCCTGCTTTAACACACCTGTCTGTAATTTTTAATGAACCCCAAAGTCCTCAGGTGTGATTGATTAGAGTTGGATCTAACTCTGCAGGAATCTAGATCTAGATCAAGAGCAGGAATGAGCTGGTGTCCCACAGGGCTCAGTGTTAGCGCTCTTACTTTTCTGTTTATACATTAAATCTCTCTGCACTGTCGCCCAGTAGCATGTGTTTTCTTCTTGCTGCTTTGCTGATCACATGCAGGTGTACATTTTTTGTCTCCATCTGTTTTTTCAGAGAACATTACACCCTCTCTGACATATAGACCTTGAGGACTACTCACCTCATGCTCTTAAAAAATGGCTTCCTTTTCCTTCCAGCCAAAATTTTTCACCCACAGGTGTGTTAAACCATAGAAGTCACCCCAGAAGACCATTTGTGGACAATATTGCAGCAGCTGTCTGCAGGGGCGGACTGGGACAAAAATTCAGCCCTGGCACTGTAGTAGTTTGCTTTAATTTATTTTCAAGATCTGAGGTAAAATATCTATTGTTGCTTTCACTATGGCTATAAAGATCACGCAGAATAATATTCAAACTCACATTAGACACTTTTAACATTGAATAAAGCACATAATCATTACCTGAGATTATCGCTGTCATATTTTGTATGTTGTTCCTGGCGCGACATCGCAGAAAATAAAAAACAGTGAAAACCTCGGTGAAAACTAATTGAGGAACCCTGGTATAGGATGTAAACATTACAGCAAAATATTTTCTCACTGACTGCTCTCAACATTGGAATACACATGAATACAAACAAGTAATAATAGCAAAAAAGGGAATAGAATATATAGCAAAAACTATAAATAGTAGCAGCAGTAAATTCTTTTTGATATATAATTATTTGTGAATTAAAGTATGCTGAAGTGTTGCTAGTATGTGCTGCATGTGCATTTGTGTGATGTAAAGTGTGTGTGTGAGTGTGATCTCTCTCTCTCTATGTGTGTGTGTAACACAGTCACATGTTCCTCCTATTCTAAGAGTTAATTAATAGTTAATTAGATCCACATTATTAAGAAACTGGCAGCATCTGTATCAGGGTGTGTCTCTCTCATTGTGTCTTCCTACCTCCATGACACTTGACTCTGCAGTCCACCCTACCTAAGGATTAATTGCATACGTTTACAGTATGCAATTAATCCTTAGGTAGGGTGGACTGCAAAGTCAAGTGTCATGGAGGAAGACACGATGAGAGAGACACACCCTGATACAGATGCTGCCAGTTTCTTAATAATGTGGCTCTAATTTTTTTTACGGTCCATTATCTAGCTTTTACTGAAAATTAGCTCGTGTTGCAATCTCTCTGATGACGTGCTTGATTTTGACTGAACGGTTCGGTCGGCCCATCTCGGGACCAGGCAGCCGGCCGTGGCCGACTGGGCAAGATGCTTAACATTTATTTATTATTAACATTATTATTATTATAACCATAGAGAAATCGTGCAAGCGATAAAAACCTGTCCTATGCGCTGTTGGCCCGTAAAAACAATTTTATTTATATATATTTAGAAAAAATCTGACCGGCCCACATTAAACAAAATGGTCCGGCCCCTCTGGCATTTGCCAGAATTGCCAGATGGCCAATCCGCCCCTGGCTGTCTGTTCAAATCATTCACCATAACATATGCAAAATCAGGCCCTTTCTGGACCCCATTTCCACTCAGCTCCTTTAATTTCCAGTCATTCCAAAAGTAGACTACTGTCAGATGTCCCCTCAAGTGCACCAAGAACGTAGATGTTCAGTTGTGTGAAACCTCTGGAAATACTGTCATATTCACCTCTGCTCAAGTGCCCTCACTAGCTGTCAGTTCCTGCCAGAATCAATAAAGATTCTGGCCTGCAATGGTACCAGTGGCCTGAATGATCTTTTGTGAAGCTGTACACATTTGTCCAGTGTTTCCTACAGAATTCTACTTCTGTCAACACTTCGTTATATTTGGTATTGGTTGACTAGCCTCAACTGGCTTGGATAACTAGCCTCAAACATTAAACATAAAAAAATTTATCTTGCTTAGCACATAAAAAATATATTTACAGTATATTCAGGGAATTAGAAGCTATGCATGCTTGTGGCCTTTGTTGGCCTTTTGATAGCATGCCTAGAAAAGAAGCATCCGGGAGTTGTTAAAATTTCAAGTTGCTTAACTAACAACGATTGAATAGCTAGAGATGGGTAAGTTGCTGTGCTACTTGCCTGTCTATTTCTGTCAACCCTTCGTTATAAATGGTATTGGTTGACTAGCCTCAACTGGCTTGGATAACTAGCCTCAAACATTACACATTAAAAAAACAACAACAAAAAACTAGAGATGGGCGAGTTGCTATGCTATTGGCTTCTAGTAGGGGTTAATATTTGGTGGCGGATCATGTCCGTGATTACAATCATGTGATTGGAGGACCACTCCAATTGCTTTGCTTTTGCATGAAATTGGAGCTCAACTTTGTTTAATACTTACTGTATGGTAGAGTCTGTGACATGATGGCATGATCTATGAAATAAAATATTTAGAGAAAATTGTGTTTTTCCATTCAGTTGTTTCCTTTGCTCTGTTGGTATCTGGAGTGTGAGTTTTGATTTACATCTATTCAGAGGTTCTGGGGTGATTAGGAACCTCAAAAGGGAGTGATTTGGAAAACCGAAAACTTTCTAAATGGTCAGTCATGCATGCCAAATAGGGCTCCTTGTGTGAGACTCAGTATCACATTAGTGTAATGTTAGCATGTTGCTAAGCTAACAACGCAATACTCTAAGCACAAAACATATACAACACAAGCAAATATTGTTCATACTCAAATCTCTTCTACATCAGAACATGACCTTTTACATTATTTTTGTTATTTTTATGTTTTTATTGTAGCTTTTACACTTACATTTAAGGTGTACAATTGTATATCGATTTATCCATTTCCTTATACTCTCCTAAAAGTTTTTTTTAATAATGTGCTTTTATTGCACCAGGAGCATCTTAATGTTCACAAGATTGAAGTATGACTGGAATAACCATTACCTTTCTCTGTCTCTTTGTTGTGCAGGACTCAGATTAATTTCACAGTGGCGATTGATTTCACAGCTTCTAACGGTGAGTGCCGTCTCTATCAGAAGGCTGATGGAATTATTGAAATGTATGCAGATGAGGCATGAAAAAGGGCTAGTAATAGCTGTCCTCGATCATAATCAGTGAGGTTTAATGCGATAAAGAGCTCTGATCTGTGTGATTATACTGAGATGCCTGCCTTTTATATTCATTTGCAGATTCAAAGGGAATACCACAAAACCAACTCAATTTCAGGGCCATCCTGGCAAATCTAATTTTATACATCACTAGCTTTCATAATTTTTTTCTTCTGGATTCATGATATCAGCCTCTCAGAGTACACAAAGAGTAAAGAGAGGGGAACTTACTATTTTATATTTATATACTTCTATATACTACCATATTTTAGGTCCCTTAACTCTACCCCATACCTAAACCAAAACTACTACAACAACTACCTTACTACCAATAAGCACTAAACTATTCAAACCATTGAACAGTTTCACAATGATTTTGAATATATCTTATTGGTCGTAAATAACTGTGAACATTGTTACATTATATTAGTAGTATCCATAGTTATACTGTTAGAATATATTATGCATTGAAATACATCATAAAACAAGACCATATTTAATGTGTCACATAACGCTATTGTGAGTTATAATGTATTATACTATTCAGTAGTGTAGCCATGAATATGTACATTTTCTACTTTAAACATGGTTGACAATTAAATTAGTATACTTTTCCTGTCAAATGGTTAAGTTGCACTAAAAAGTACACATTTTCTTCCATATGGTTCCCAAGGCAACCCAGCCCAACCCACTTCCCTCCATTACATGAATCCTTATCAGCTCAACACCTACGCCATGGCACTCAAAGCCGTGGGGGAGATCATACAGGACTATGACAGCGACAAGATGTTCCCCGCACTGGGTTTCGGAGCCAAGCTGCCTCCTGATGGGAGAATATCCCATGAGTTTGCCCTGGTAAGCAGTTCTTAAAACATCTGTCCTGCAGAGATAGGCACAGGAGATCCAGTTTGTGAGGACACAAGTCTTGGATATCTTTTTCTGAATGTTATATTCGCTTATGTTGCCTCTAGACAGAACAATACACAAAGCTTTCAATTTCAGAACGGGTTTTTAGAGATGGGCACTTGACAGATTCCTACATTCCCTAGAAAACTCTTTGGAAATACCAGCCTATTTTTATAGTTCTAGTATGTTTTTTCTGAGTCCATAACATCTGTTGTACTTTTTTATTCCCTATTCTCATATTGAAAGAAACAAATTGGAATGACACAAGAGCTGGATGTTGCCTGGTGTTTGTGTTTTAGAGAGGGTGAACTGAATGCTTTTGTGTTTAAAAATGTACAAATTGTCACCTTGTGAATGAGGAAACTGGCAAAAAAACATCTGTAGCCTTATGCTGAAAGAGGAACCTGAGCTGGGTCTAGAGACCAGAATATTATAGAGACTAGGGGGCGGGTATTTTTGACTTGGGCTAGAAAGTAACCACATAGCAGCCACCCTAGCAACTGCAATGTAATGCATAAAAAATCAGAATACCTTAGCAATTATATAACATCACATACCACCCTAGCATCCACCCACAACATTTGCATAGCAGCGCAAAAGAAAAAAAACTAATAACAAATAAAAACAACCACATAGCAATGTTCTGGCAACCACCCAAAACATCACACCAACCAAATAGCAACGCACTAAAAAACACTTCATAGCAACCACATAACACCGTTGCAACCCTAAAAGTGGAACTTACATTTTATTCAAAGAATGTAAACATCTATTTATGTCTCTAAAATCTGGAATTTCCATTGTGAGTTAACACATCTCCACCAGATGTTGAACCATGAGACCCTGTCTGTTTGATTATTTGATTTCAGATTAGTTCATTTTTTCTTTGTTCCTACAGAATGGAAACCCTCAGAATCCATATTGCAATGGCATTGATGGAGTCATGGAGGCATATTACCAGAGTCTAAAATCTGTTCAGCTCTACGGTCCTACCAACTTCTCACCTGTCATTAACCATGTAGCCAGGTACGTTCAAAACATTTCATAAACAAAGACATAATGTGCATATGCACACAGCTGCACATATTTTTTGCATCTTTTGCAAGTATGTAGTGCTTTTTTACATGCATTCATGTATTACTTTTGTGGTAACAAACCTCATTACTTAAAATCATCATGAAGTCTAAATTCGGAAATGATTATTTTTTTATGGGATGCTGCAGTGTTTACTAACTTGCTTAGCCATATTCCTGAAAGAGACGATGGTAAATGGCAATGGTAAGAAAGCAACACATCCTTTAAGACTGCAATCTGACATATTTCATAACACAACAATGCACAAAATCAGGCTTGCGTAGATCAGATAATTGAGCGTAAACACTAAATAACTGTTTACAATCACATTGTTGCACAGCATTGCAGGCTTTTTTCATAGTCTAATAGTTTAGATAATTCAAGTAATCTAAATGTATGGGTTGTGTACCTTTTCTTATTAATTTACTCTCTAAAATAGTTGGTAACATTTTAGTATAGGGATCGATTCTCACTATTAACTAGTTGCATCTTATCATGCCTATTAATAACATATTGGCTGTTTATTAGTACTTATAAAGCATTTATTCTACATGAACATATTCTACATCCCTAATCCTATGCAATACCTGAACTTAAAAGCTAGGTAACTAACTATTAATAAACAGCAAATTAGTAGTTTACTGAGGCAAAAGTCGTAGTTATAATGGTTTGTTAATGGCAAGAATTGTACCTTAAAATAAAGTGTGACCAAATAGTTTATTCTGTTTGGTAAATCACAGAACTGAGTCGTGAAATATTTTTGGATATTGACCATTACATTAAATATATTGGTTCTACCTTTTTTATGGACTTTCATGCCTATATATGTCATCTATCTTTTCATATCAGTGGAAGTTTAGATGCTAATTTGAGCTATTTTGCAACTCAAAGAAGTGACTACTGACTGTAATAAAAATACCCTTGGAAAACAGTGTTAATTTTATTATATATGGTGAACATTCAAACTTTGAGAGATGGCTAGACAAATTAGTATAAAGCTGAATGCTCCTTCCATTGCTGAAATGAACCAAGATGGCAACAAACTTGCAATGATTGAGAGTTACAATATTATTCAGCAAACAATGTAGGTTTTGCACATTTTCAGAGGATGGCAACAGCTAAACATTCTCACCCAGGTGCAACATCCAAACAAAGTGTGTGACAGTAACACAGAGATAATCGAATCCAAAATGGCCTTCGAGGCACAATATATGACCTTTAAATCACTTTAAATGAGCCGTGGAACTAGACTTGCAGAGGTGAGACTATGAGATTTGATCACATGCTGCCCCAAATAAGATGATCCCAGGTCTGTATCGTCCGTCAAGTGATGTGAGGAAAAACATTAAATGGCCATCATAAATGTGACACAATGGCCTGAAAATTAGATCTCTGTAATACCCACACAGAATTTTCTAGTACCCCATAGGCATTTCCATGGATGAGGCCCTAAATCCTGGGTTTTTAAACTTTTTCATGCCATAAACCCCCAAAAATGATAATCACCATCAAGACCTTTACTGATATATAAAGGCTAATACACAGTATTTTCGTATATTAAGACTCATTTTTACTGTGTGTGGGAATATATATATATATATATATAACATATTCAGTATATTCAGAAATTCAGACAGTAATTCAGTTGATTTAATTTACTTCATTTAATCAGCACAGGAAAAATTATAACCTAAAAATGGTAACGTAAATTAATTGGTTTTATTTAAATTAAATTAAATTTAATGTTTAAAAATATATATTTAGCATTACTGAATCAAACTAAATGCATTTGTAAGGTCCACGCACTTGGCCCAAGGAAGGTATCCAGTGGTGGATGAAGGTTTCTTGCGTGTTCGGTCTTTTCAGCGCGCAGAGTTATTCAATTTAGGTTTAACTCAAATCTGACTCCATTTTATTATCTAATCTGACTCCATTTTAGTATTTTTGCTACAATCCTTTAAATACAAAACCAAGATAAAACATCCCCCAAGTGGAGGCATGTACAAACAATTGGAATTTACATTAACCCAGGTCCCAGACCTGGGTGGTTTGCACCTCAATGGGAGCAGAAGGTAATTTGCATGGAATGACCCTCTACAGTAATCAAAGTATCTCTTAAGATCTGTATTATCTTTTAATCTACTTTTGTAAGATTAAGACCATTGTACCACTCGCCCTGAGACTATTCAAATGATACCACACATGACTGTAAATCTTATTTGCATTCATATATAACATTATACTATTGACCATTCTGAGTGTGCTGGGTGAAGAGAAGGATGGGTGCGGGGAAGGAAGGGGATGAGGAAAAACCCAATGCATATGTGAGAGACGTTTTCCCGCATTTTCTCTCAGTGAGATGCGGAAACAGATGTCTGTATGTTAATGCACTGTGTGTGTATTGTCTGTCTCAGAAGATCAAAGTATCTGAGTTTCTTTTATCCTTACACATTGTTGTACCAACAATGTTAATTTCAATCAGGTAAGAGTTAAATTGGGTAAAAAAATAAAAATCTCTTTAAGGTAACAATTGCAGTTGATCACTTTTTGCACTTTTTATATTTTTATTCTTTGTAATATATTTTTTGATACTTTTCCACCCAGAATCCAGTTGGAAAACTTCTGCACTAAATCAAAGCTGTTCCTAATAAATATAAGCTCATGTGGTTCTTACCAATTTAAATGGAAAAATAGAGTAAATTCTCAAATTTAGGGAATTGAAACAGGGTTGTATTCAAAAAGAAATTCAAAAGAATTTGGAAATCAATAAATGTGCACTGTACAAATTAGCAAAAACTGAACAGAGAAGTGGAATAAACAATAATTTTAGAAATATTAATACATTTACTTACTGTAAAATCAGAATGTGAACAAAAGCTCTGTACTGTTTAAAGATACTGTACTTGCTATTTTACACTATTAGAGGTCAGAATAAAATATCTTGGACACTTTTAACAGCTTGTGGGTCTGTGAGAACCTGAGTGTCTACATCTCTTTTGTATAAAACATAATAATTAATAAGATCACTGTCGCCCCCATGGACAGTTTTGTGTTTGTTTTCCTCCCCCACGTACTCCATGTTCTCCCTTTGACCTAGTTTCTCCCTCATGTTAATTATGTTTATTCGTTCCAGGTGTTTCTTGTAAGCTTCCTCGTTTAGTTTGTTGTATTTATGCCCTGTGTTTTCCTTTGTCCAGCGTCTAGTGTTAAACGTCTACTCCGTGCGCTATGTTAGTTTGGTTAATTAAAGACTTCCATAGTTCTGGATCCCCTTCATCTCTGCGCTCCTTCGTCTCCTCGTTCCTACACAGCAGCAGCACCGTGACAGAACACTAGACCAAAGAAACAGTAAGCGGCGCCCCTTTCTCCCCGTTTTTTGTTTCCGTTTTAGAAAGTGTTTTATTTTCCGTTCAACCACCCCCACCACCACGTTCATGGAAACCGCCGCTAAATTCGCCACCTTCGCCTGTAGGGATCTCCCCTTTGTAGAATTTGCCCGGGAATTCTGCGGGATCCCGCCAGCCGCTGCACTCTCAAGCCCGCTGGCCCTGCACTCTCAAGCCCGCCGGCCGTTCCATCATCAAGCCCGCCGGCCAATTCATTCCCAAGCCCTCAGCTGACAGCAGCTTTCTCCCTTACCTCAAACCAGGGGAGGAATCTAAGGAGGAAGAGGCTGTTAGCTCGAGCCCATGAGTCCACTCCAGTGTCGACTCCAGCCCCTGAGTCCGCTCCAGTGTCGGCTCCAGCCCCTGAGTCCGCTCCAGTATCGGCTCCAGCCCGAGTCCTCTCCAGTGTCGGCTCCAGCCCCCGAGTCCGCTCCAGTGTCGGCTCCAGCCCCTGAGTCTGCTGCAGTGTCGGCTCCAGCCCCTGAGTCTGCTCCCGTGTCGGCTGCAGCCCCTGAGTCTGCTCCAGTGTCGGCTCCAGCCCCTGAGTCCGCTCCAAAAATTAGTATAAAGCTCCTGTTTCCAAGTTAAGCCCAGAGAGGGCTCTTGTTCCCGCGTCCAGCCCGGAGAGGCCTCCTGTTCCCACGTCCAGCCTAGAGTGGGCTCCTGTTCCCAAGTTAAGCCCAGAGAGGGCTCCTGTTCC